GGTAGCACTAAAATGTATAGGGACCTAAAACCCTACTACTGGTGGCCGACGATGAAGCTCGATGTTGCGAAGTATGTGGCCGAGTGCGTAACATGCGCGAGGGTTAAGGCACAACATCAAACCGTATGGGATTTTAGAACCTTTACCTGTACCCATGGGTAAATGGGAAGACATCACCATGGATTTTGTGACTAAACTGCCCAGAACGAAGAACGGACACGACATGATTTGGGTAGTCGTGGATCGTTTCACCAAGAGTGCACACTTCATAGCCGCCAACGAGAAGTGGTCTATGGATAAGCTCGCAAATGCTTACGTGAAGGAAATTGTAAGACTTCACGGTGTCCCTCTTACGATTGTGTCAGATCGTGATAGTCGTTTCACGTCAAGGTTTTGGAGGAGTCTACAAGAGGAGTTGGGTACAAAGTTGTGTTTGAGTACTGCTTACCATCCGCAAACTGATGGTCAGAGTGAAAGAACGATTCAGACGTTGGAAGATATGCTGAGAGCATGTACCCTCGAATTCCAAGGGAATTGGGACGAGCACTTACCTCCGGTAGAATTTTCCTACAACAATAGTTTTCACTCGAGCATCAAGATGGCTCCTTATCAAGCCTTGTATGGGCAGAAGTTTCGTACGCTGTCTTGTTGGCTTGAAGCCGGAGAGAAGCAGTTTATGGGCCCCGAGATAGTCCATGAGACTGCTGAGAAATTGAAGGAGATTAGGGAAAGAATGTTAGCAGCTCAGGATCGTCAAAAGAGCTATGCTGACAAGAAAAGACGACCGATAACTTTCGAAGTTGGGGATTCCGTTTTACTTAAAGTCTCACCGTGGAAGGGACTTATACGATTTGGGAAACGAGGAAAGTTGAGTCCAAGGTTTATTGGACCGTTCAAAGTTCTTCAGAGGATTGGGAACCAAGCTTACAAGCTGGAATTTCCCGAAGAACTCAATGGTATTCATAACACCTTCCATGTGTGTTATTTGAGGAAATTCATGGGAGATGTTCCCGACATAATTCCAATCTCGGAATTAAGGATGGATGAGAATAAAAGGATGATCGAAGAGCCTGAGGCAATTATTGACCATAAGACTAAGAAGTTACGACGCAAGATGGTCGACTTGGTGCTAGTCCGATGGAAACATTCGAATGGGCCGAATCTCACTTGGGAAACAGAGGATGACATGATGAGTCGCTATCCACATCTGTTTGCTGATGCATGATTCCGGGACGGAATCATCCTAATGGGGAGAGAATTGTAACGCCCGGGTTTTCAGGGCTAAGCATTTTTGTCAATGTAATAGTCTAGGTCAACTATTGTAACTCTTTTTGAAGTAATAAATATGAAATATTTGAGTATTATGTGAATTATGTGTGTTTATGTGTTTATTATTTAATTATAAATGTATAATTAATAAAGAATAAAAATGAGCGTCAAAATTAAAGTGTGAGATAATCCCGATATCTCTACATAAAGTTGTAGAATATGTCTCAAGGTTTTCGTACATATAAAGAATGCCGAAATCCGAGCTATAACGAAGAATTATGTCCCGCCGAAGTTTTACGGCAAAACCGGCACGACACCGGGAGACGTAAATAGTGAATTTACGATAGAAGACTTTTTAGCCTTAGCAATCTAAACAAAAGTCGTAGAATATGTTAAACTAAGAACATCGATAAAAAGAACGCCCAAATCTGACTTCGTATGAAGAAGTTATGATTTTTCTAAGATTCGGCTTAGCAGTGCACGACCTGAAACTCGAATTTTAGTTCGAGCTGTTTTTGGCTTACGCAACGTAAATGAGACTTGAAGATCTCATTAATAGGAAATCAACGGTAAAAAAACAGACAAAAATAGAGTCCGTATGTAGAAGTTATTAATTTTACGCAGACGTTTAACAATATAATCTCCTTGTACTGTTAAATTTAAGATCGGTCGAGAATTAGCTGACGGTGTCAAAATGAAAGTTGTAGATCTTATTATTACCTATGCGTGGATATAAAGAACGTCAAAAACGGAGGTCGTATGTGAAAGTTATGGATTTTAGAAGTCGGAAGTGTGCTGTGCGAAAATGGGTGATGTGACACAATCTTGGCCATTGCTTTCTCCCCAAGGCTTGCCACCAGATGGTGACATGTGGCACCAAGTTCAGCCACATTTCACCCTATAAATACCACCTCTCCCACCCTCATTTTCTTCACACCTTTCCCATTCTTTCTTCTCTTTACTCTGTCTCTCTCTCTCTCTAGAACCTCTCTCTAGCCCCGAAATCCCCCGAAAAGCCTAGGGAACCTCCCTAGCACGAGGCGGAAGCCCCGGAGTGCTCGAAGGCTCCGAGAAGAAGAGCTTTTTGACTCGGAAACGCTGCTCCAAGCAAATCCTGGTTTTCTATAAAACCCGCTGTAAGTGAGTTACGCCTACGCTATTTTTAATATAACTTTTATTTAATTATAGTAACGTTATTAGGAACTTATAATAAATACTTGGGCTATTATTATGGGTTATATAAGTATTTTTTGACGCTTATATAATAATAATAATAGCTAGACTATTAATTAGTCTCGACGAATAATATACTAAACTCTAGTGGTAATAATACTAGGTTTCGTCGAAGAAAATTCTTTTTAAGAAGCGAAGCGCTGTCTGAGTTCAGAATCACAAAACTTTATAAAGTGTCATCTTAATGCTCGAATGGTAACTATTGTTGTAGGAAAACTCTATCAGGGGTAAATGCTCATCCCAACTACCTTGAATTCTAGGGTACATGCTCTTAACATATCTTCCAGTGTTTAAATCGTCCTTTCGCTCTGACTATCACTGTGCAGATGGTGGGCTGTACTTAAACACAACTTCATACCCATTTCCACTTAAAGAATCTTCCAAAATCTTGGTGTGAAATGATTGTCACGATTCGATACAATCGTTAGGGGACACCGTGAAGTCTTACTATCTCCTTCTTGTAGGCGTTTGCAAGCTTATCCATAGACCATCTCTCATTGGCTGCAATGAAATGTGCACTCTTTGTGAACTGATCCACGACTACCCAAATCAAGTCGTGACCGTTCTTCTTCCTGGGTAGTTCAGTCACAAAATTCATGGTGATGTTTTCCCATTTAACCATGGGTACAGGAAAAGGTTCTAAACTCCCACACGGTTTCTGATGTTGCGCTTTAACTCTTGCACATGTTACACAATCTGCCACATGCTTTGTAACATCGAGCTTCATCATTGGCCACTAGTAGTAGGGTTTCGGATCCCTATACATTTTAGTGCTGCCGAGATGAACCGAGTACATGGTCTTGTGAGCTTTTTCCATCGGAAGATCCATTATTCCTCCCATCTTAGGCACCTAAATCCTATTTTGGAATACCTTCGTTCCTTGACTATTTGTACTGAATACCAATGTTTTGGCTAAATGTTCTTCCTTTCGGCTATTTACCTCCAAAGTTTCTTCTTAGGCTTTGTTGATGCTTTCCACAATTGTTGAGACAACTTCTATTCGATGGTTCAATCGTTCATTGACTTATTATTATATTCAGTGAGTTACAATCCTTAAAAGTTGAACTATCAAAAATGAAATATTTCAACTTTTTAACTATTATTTTAGACTATAATTATGAATTTTATGTATCTTTGACAGATAAATCATATAAAAGGGATCTTGATGAACTTGATTTATATGTTAGTTACTTTTATTTGTAAACAATAATTTTGCAAAATTATAACATTATTAAATCAAGGTAGATTGGTTATGTATGAACGTAAACGTAATCATTTTTACAAGTTGTATCGTATCAAACCCAATAACATATTCGTTTTAACGAATTCTATCAAACCCAAAAACTTATTTTAACGACTTGTACTCTATACAATTAAAATTGTATCGGTCCAAACGGATCCAAGAACCGGAAAACCCGGACACGGACACGGACACGACCCATCCGGTCTAGTTCACGATCCACAATATTCTCCATAACTCGTCCGATCTGATTCGGTCCAAATGCTTACCCCTAGTTAATAGTTTACTATTATTAACTCCGCTGTTACGAAAAGAAAATATTTAAAACATATCTTTATAAACTTTTAAAATAATGAAAATACGTTAAACTTTCTTTCCTATTTATGATTTTATTTATTTATATATACAGAAATTTAAATTTAAATTTAAATAAATAAATATATTGCTACAACCTACAAAGAATCCTTTCACTGTTCACTCCCCCTTCATCTCTTCTAACTCCATTGACCAAGAAAAGTGGGAATGAAATACGGCCAGAAAGGTAGTACAAGTTCACACTTTTCTCTCTCTCTCTCTCTCTCTCTCTCTCTATATATATATATATATATATATATATATATATATATATATATATATATATATATATATATATATATATATATATATATATATATATAACTTGTAGAAATCACGGTTATAAAATTAATTAAACTTTTATAATAAAAACTTAAAATTATTAATCAATGATTTTAAATAAATTATTAATTAAGAGATTTTTTTAGTTATAAAAATTTTAATCATTAATTTAAATAAATATGTGAAATTATATCATTTTATAATTTGTATTAATTTTATTAATATTTATTATAATATTATTAATTTAATATAATTAAAATGATAAATTTTGAAATTTAAAATGGATAATTAATAGGTTTACAAGTAACATAGAAATATGATAAAAAAAATAAAATATACTTAGAATATATATATATATATATATATATATTCCACCATTGCATTCTTCATTGGTGTGTGGTTTTTGTATGTTCATGGGAAATCTCAATTCTATTGATGCGCTCTTGTTGCTGTGTGTGTAATTGTGAAGAGTACAAAGAGAAAACGAATCAAGTTCACGAAACACCTCACCTTCTTGTCTTATTCTCTCTCTTTCTCGCGTAAAACTTCAGGGTTTCTCTGTCTACAAAAAAGAATAAACTTATTTTCCAGATCAGGAGGTTCCTTTTCGTCATTTTTGAGAGACCCACAAGATTTCAACCATTAATAAACTCTCCCAAATAAATCTTTCGACTCTGATTGTCTCTGTGATTCTTGATCATGATCACCATCTCAATTGGTATTGCCTAACTCTTCAGAATTTTAGGTTTATTTTGATGAAATAACTATTTTCTTGATTGTAGATTCTACTTTTTTTTTTTTTCAATCCCCTTTCTGTTATTAGAACTATCTTGAGTGTACTTAAGATTGGTAAGCTTAGTTCTCATGTTCTCTTTGATCGTTTTTTGAAAATCCAATAATTTTTAACCGTATACATACGATATTGATATAGTTATATATGTGTGCGTGTGTTAGTGTGTCTCTCTATTGTTCTACCCCCCCTGAAATTTGTTTGAATTGATATTTGATTTTCTGTTCGATGGTTCAATCAATCATTGGCTAAGATTTTACTTTCTGGCGTTGACTTTTTTTAACGTAGAAGTCGAACAATCTTTTTCTTCACCTTCATTGATCTGACACGAACACACACTCTGTTTGGTCCTCGTTTTACAGGAGCAAGCAATTAGGTTGGAGAAGATGGACACAGGATTTGATCCTGAACAAGTGATTGAAGAATTTGAAGGTTTAACCAAAGATGCTAAGAGGATTCAGATGGAAACTTTAAAGAAAATCTTGGAAGAAAATTCTGAAGCAGAGTATCTAAAAAAATGGCGTCTTGATGGTAAAACTGACCCTGAAAGTTACAGTTCATGTGTCCCTCTTGTTACCCACAAAGATCTCGAGCCTTTAATTCAACAAATTGCTGATGGTGCACCTTACCCTATTCTCACTGGCAAACCAATTACCACAATTACGTTGAGGTACTTTCACTTTGTGCTTGTGGTCAACTTGATCATTTCCATGCTATAATTGTTTGTACTTTGTGCATTAAAGTTGTTTCTTGAAATTTATAGTTCTGGGACTACTCAAGGGAAGAGAAAGTTTGTACCTTTCAATAATGAGTTGACCGAAACAACAATGCAGATTTATCGGACTTCTTTTGCCTTCAGAAACAGGTATATAAGTTATAACACTAAAAGATTGATGATAAAGTCCAGTTTTTCATATGATTTTGTTATGTGTATAGGGAATTTCCGATTGGAAATGGGAAATCTTTAAGCTTTATCTATGGCAGTAAACAGTTCAAGACAAAAGGTGGTCTACTAGCAGGAACTGCAACTACTAACGTGTATCGAAGTGAACAATTTAAGAAAACAATGCTTGCAATGCAAACCCCTTGTTGTAGTCCGGATGAAGTTATCTTTGGGCCTGATTTTCATCAATCTTTATACTGCCATCTCCTTTGTGGTGTTATTTATCGTGATGAAATCCAGGTTATATCATCTACTTTTGCACATAGCATTGTGCATTCCTTTAGAAGCTTTGAGTTGGTGTGGGAAGAACTCTGTTCCGATATAAAAACCGGAACTTTATCTTCTCGAATCACTGTTCCATCTATCAGAACTGCCATGGCCAAGATCTTGAAACCAAACCCTGAGTTAGCAGACAAGATTCATGAAACGTGTTTAAGTTTGACAAATTGGTATGGATTAATCGAGCTTTTGTTTCCTAATGCCAAGTACATTTATGGGATCATGACTGGATCAATGGAACCTTATTTGAAAAAACTAAGGCATTATGCTGGTGGAATACCGTTGTTGAGTGCGGATTACGGGTCATCAGAAGGGTGGATCGGGGCAAATGTGAACCCGACCCGCCCGCCCGAAATGGCCACCTTTGCTGTGCTTCCTAACATTGGATATTTTGAGTTTATACCATTGAGGGAGATCGATGTAGCTAGCCAAGATCGAACCCTACCCGAGTTTGGTTCATTGCCCGTGGGTTTGACCGATGTCAAGGTCGATGAAGAGTATGAGGTTGTTATCACCAATGTTGCAGGTACGAATAGTTTTTATTCCTTTTGATTATCTTTAATGATTTTATATTGTAGTAGGAAACTTAAATCCATATATATGAAAAGGAGTTAATTTTGATTTTTTTTGGGATGACGGTTTTGGTTAGATTCATGATTTAACAGTGTAAGCCAATTGAAAGATCGGAATGGGACCCATTCACTTAGTTTTTTAGTGTGGTGTCCATGTGGGTGTTTTAAGATAGGGCACAACTTCTTAGTTGTCTTATCTACCCCAATATCTCAAGCTAAGCTAGTGGTACGGTACCCCATGATGTACAGTGATTCATTTAGAATTGACTTTATTTGACTTTTTATGTATGTAGGTTTGTATCGTTACAGACTTGGGGATGTTGTTAAGGTTGTTGGGTTCCATAACTCGACTCCAGAGCTTCAATTTGTTTGTAGAAGAAACCTAATGCCGACAATCAACATAGACAAAAACACAGAGAAAGACTTACAGTTGTCAGTCGAAGCTGCAGCCAAATTGTTAGCGGCTGAAAAACTTGAGGTGGTTGACTTTACGAGCCAAGTTGACCTTTCCTCGGAGCCGGGACGTTATGTGATATATTGGGAGGTAAGTGGCGAAGCAAGAGAGGAGGTGCTTAAAGAGTGTTGCAATTGTTTGGACTCGTCGTTTGTTGATGCCGGCTATGTGAGTTCTAGAAAGGTTCATGCCATTGGACCGCTAGAGCTTAGAGTCTTGAAAAGAGGGACATTTCAAAAGATTTTGGACCATTATGTTGGATTGGGGTCCACCTTGAACCAGTTCAAGACTCCACGATGCGTGGGCCCAGCTAACCAGATAGTGTTGCAAATACTCGTCAACAATGTTGTCGAAAGTTATGCTAGTACTGCTTTTGGCTAGGGTTCGGGGTGGTTGTAGGGGCAGGGCAGGGTTGTTAATATGTATTATCATAGTTTGCAGAAATTTCTCAAAAGGCTTGAAACAATATGCTATCAATGTTGTATAGAGAAGTTTGTGCTTCTTTTGTACTTGTGGACATTCTATAAAAAAATCTTTTAGAACTTCTTCTACAAATAATATTTATCATTAAACATATTTAAGATTATATTGTTTTACTTTAAATATATGTACAATTAAAGTGTATGTATTATTTTCAGATATTTGAAAAAAATGTGTAAGCTACTCGTTAAGATCAATTTTAACCGACCACTAAAATAGTGGGATGATATTAAAAGTTAGTCTAACAACAATTAAAAGCCATACTACCTTTGTGAGATTGAATAATGGCCAACTTACCATTATAATCTACGAAACATTATTCATCACACTGGAACATTCGGTTTTGGAAAGTTTCTTATTTCAGAACGACGGGCCTTAAGTTAGTCAAGAGTATGTCTTGGGATTCAAAAGATAAGCTTGGACCTTATCTGACATTGATAATGTTGTTTAAGTGATTTAAGCTTTTGAATTGTGTATTGGCGCCAAAAGGGGTAAAATAGGAAAAAGTGATATTTTGGAGTTTTTGCAGGTATTAATGTATTAAGTTATGTAAGAATTAAGTCAAAAGTAATTGCATAAAGTTATGGGGCTTGTCAAAACCTTCGTGTGCATATAATGATAAATGAAAACTGATTTAGAACGAACAAGTTATGATTGTTCGAAGCTGAAAACTGAAAATCTATGGAATTACGTTGAAAGCACGGAGCACTTCTTAAAGGGGTAAAGAGCACTTTCGGTCCAGTTGGTTGTTCGTTTTTTATGGTTTGTGGGGTATTTAAAAGCCATTAACCCTTGGGGTGAGATCATTCTTAGCCTCCAACATCCCCACGTCATTCCTTGAGAAACCCTACCCTCTTTCTCTTTTTCTAAGTGATTTTGGAGCTTTGGTGCATTGTTCTTCCATTTTTTGTGTTCTTGACTAGTGAAAACAAGAAATCTTAACCTTGGGACCTTGGTTTCTGTAGTGTGAAACTTCCTTTCAGCTTCTGGACCTTGGTTGATCATAAACATTCTTGCTTTATGATGTTTCCTCTTTGGATCTAAGAGTTATTTGAGTAAATGGTCCATTTTAGCAAGTTTTGGTCCTTTAGTGACTTGCTCCTTAGAGTTTGAAATAACTCCAAAGATGTTTGATGATAATAGTATATGGATTTAGAATGGGGTTTCATATATGGTGCATGATAGGGCTCTTCAAGCCCCGTACAAGTTGATAAGTGCATTTTGGGACATTTTGGTGAATTAGGGTTTGAGATCTTAGTTGTTTGGATCAACCAAATGGATAAAAGTTGGAAACCTTATTCAGTAAGACATCTTAGAGATTCAGTTATGAGAGTTTTGTTCCTTAGATTTATGGTTTAAGTTTTTTAAACATTGTTGGGAATTGGAGTGTTCGTGGAGAGCGAAACGCTTCTGGTAAAAAGTGTTCCGTGTTCGACTATCATGTCTTGTAGTGAAGCGTGGGTCATCTAGGGTGGTGTACCTGGTTATAGTCAAAGTTTAACCGATGACCATTGACTTTTGGCAAGTTTTGGATTTGGGTCACACTTTAGGGTTATTAGTGTAGACTGATTTTTGGTCTTTATAGGTGTGTATGCGGTTCACGAGTCTGGTTTGAACTAGATTTCAAGTGTACGACTGTGAATCCTTAGATTTCCGAGCAGGTGAGTCTCCTCACTATGTTATGTGTAACAATATATGCCCTTCTAGTATAGGATGTAGAGGAGTGATGGTATGTTGTTAGGGAGAGCAGGCTTGTATAGCCTTTTGTATGTTGTTATGTTGGTTGGAGTGTAGATGGTATTGATGATCACCAAATGAATACCATAGGGTTAGTGTGTAGTCAAATAAGATAGCTTGAGAACTCTTGATCTAGGACTTATTGCATGTTCCTTGTTTGGTTGTAGGTTTAGGATAAGGTCATCTGTTTGACTGTCTATCTTATCTCTGAGTATATACAATTATGCATGCATGTGGTGGTTGTCAACAATAACACAGAGTGTTGTATTAGTCCTTAGTATGTTTGAACGTGATTGTGTCGATGTATGTTGTTAGGTAGGTAGACTAGTTTAGATAGTTACATGTGTTGTTGGATTGTTGTTGATTATTTGTCATATATATATATATATATATATATATATATATATATATATATATGTGTGTGTGTGTGTGTGTGTGTGTGTGTATGTTATTGATATATTTTGTGATGAGTTGGGGGCGGTTCAACAATGCGGGGGTCCAGGTTTATGCTAAAGGCCAGGGGCAGACTAGCTTTGTGTTGAAGGCCAAGGGTAGAGGCAGACCAACTATGAGTTGAAGGCCGATATGTGTATGCAATGTGTGTATATTGTGACATGTGGTATTTTAGGAACTCAGTAAGCTTTGTGCTTACAGTTGTGGATTAAACATTTTTCAGGTACTTTAGATGATCGTAGGAAGGCGAATGTGTAACTGTACATACTCATCAACAACTTTCGTGTTTTGTGATTCCGCGTTAAGTATTATACTCTATTTTGTATGATTTCACCTTTTAGAACAATTGTTTTTATTGGCTGTGGTTTCTAAAGAAGATATTTTATCTTAATTAAAAATTAAAAAAATTATTGTGAAATTGGGATGTTACAGACACTAAAACCACTTTTTGTTTAAAACGATATAATTTTTATTGGTTTTTACTTTGTGGTGAGATGTCGAGTCCACCAAGCAAATTACACCATTTTGCTTGCAAATTAAACATAATATAATAGTAAAAAGGGGGTCGATTCACCGATAAATTGTTGTATTCAATCACCAATGCAATCCAATTGAACAAGTGAAATAAAACTAACTAACTACAATTAAAGTAAGGGGGTTGTGATTTGTTTGAAAATAAAAGACTTGAAGAATCAAAAAATATGCAATCAAGAAAGATGGTGAGATGCTTAAATATTGGAGAAAGTTGGTCAACTAAGGCAATTCAACACAATGAACATTTGTGCATTTATCATTAGGACTCAATATGTAAGCTTATCATTTAACCCAAATTGGTTACAACAATCATGAAGCATAATGTGCCAAAATTCCTCAAAGGTAGTATGGAGGTTGGGAAAGCCCACAACACACCTTCTTAATCAAAACCAAGGATTCAATTGAATCAATTAAACCCAAGAAAATTAATTAACCTTAACAATGAAGGAATTCACAATTCTTGGAGGATGTTTATGATTACACATCCATAAAGTAGTCATGATTTCTACCATCATAAAGCCCTTGTTCTAAGCAAATTCAATGATTCATTGTTAAATCAAAGAAAAAACCAACAATTGCTCATTCAAGTACTAAACTCATGATCACAGTATTAAACAAGCATAAGAATTATGAACTAAGAATCAATAACATGAGATAAATGAAAATCAAACATGAATCCTTCAAAATCCACAAATATCCAAGGGTTTTAGCCCAAGTTAACCAAAATAAAGAAGTTAGCCACTTATGGCGACAATACAATAATCATAAAAGTGTTTTGACATCAAGAAATTAGCAAAATGCCTCTATCTCTCAAATATCCAAGGGTTTTATCTCTATCTCTCTAAAATCACCTCTAAGATGCTCTAGTGGTGGAAATTTGAAGTTTACGCTGGAAATCCTAACCCCCAAGGTAAATGATGAACCAAATGACCAAAATGCCCTTGAAATGGCAATTGTGTGGGTACCCAGGCTTGGTTGCGCAGGTGGAGACCTCACCCTCACAAATAATGCCGAAATGTTATTGGCTCATTCTTCCATTACTCCACCTCACGACCTTAGATTCCCTTGGTCCCCTTCACACCTCACATGATTCAAAATGAAGCAATCATCTTCAGGCTTCAATATAGATTGTCTAAGCCTATCTTTAAGAGTCTGTGAACAAGGAACTAGTCATAATCTTCCAAAAATGAAAAATTCTCATTCATCATGCTATACAACTTGCATGATTCCAAGTTCCGGTCCAATTCAAACTTGGGTGATGAGGATGTTTTCTTATTTGGTAAATTTAGACATTACCACAAATGAAAGAATCAATTTCATATTTCCACTCTTCCTATTAATGGAATCATATAAGCAACAATTTTTTCACAAACACCATTGTAAGGATACATAAAATAAATAAAATCAAAAATTTCCTTTTATTTTAAAACTTTACAGAAAAACTTATCCTTACAATCCAGATGAAAACTTGTTTTTATTTATTCCTAAGCAATATCTCATAACTCCTAAGAAGTAGCTCAAGAATCCGATCTTCAAACTATGCGATAGAAATCGATCTACGCGATTAGATTTAGCATATTCTTTCTTAAAGTTTCTTCACTTTTCTTTGATTCTTAAAACATCACCATGTGACCCAGTCACATCATGTATCAAGAATCTCAGAATAGAAACTTAGCAGAGTTAGATAGTGGATTTTACCTAAAGTAGAGTCAACCTTATTGACTTTAACACCCTTAGGTAATATTGGCAGCTTCGCAATCAATGCCCCTTCCTTTGGCAATTTAACATATGGACGCTTTGGTAATGGAACATAGGACTATCACAGAATTAGCCTTTTGTTTTACCATTTGGTCAACCGAGTTGACTATGGTCGATCCCTTTCCATTGGGAAGAGAGAGCTTTATTGGATATCCTGTGTCACTATTGTCAATGTCCATAAAGTGTTGGAAGTTGATCTTAGCAAATAGATAATATAATTAAGGGTCTTGTCATAGTCTGTTTCATAGGAGTCCCAAAGGAAATCACTATGTGACTTAGAAAGTAGTTGAGCCACCAACTTTCTCAAGACTTTGACACCTAACTCTCCCGGCTTGTCAATATGTGACTTCATCTCCAAGATGTGATCACACCTAGACCTTGCCTTGCCAATAGGGCTTGAGTGACCTTGAACTTGTGGGTTAGGGAGAATAATTGGATGAGGTGAAAAAAGTATGGTTTCCATGGGACATCATCTTCATTTAGGAAAGCTGGTTTCAAGAGATTTAGGAAGATCATAAATGTCTAAACCAGACATCTTTTTGGGAGATATTCAAGCTAGTTGATTTAAAGTCCTTAATATAACACCCAATATGAAATA